TAGTGGCAAACATCTGTAGCTCAGTTATACAATGATGGTGAAGGTTCATTCTCAGAGCTTGTGAGTTGGTTTCCGAACATTTCATTATTAGGTTAGGTAACATCTTCAGCAGAGTTTAGGTAATGTCAGTGTTCTTCTGTTTATAAGGGCTTCAGATGTGGATGTGTCAAGTGAGGGTCTCATGATGGGTCAGCTGTGAGTCATCACTGAGTTTTGTGATGGGTCTTGTGATAGGGAGACTGCATCAGGTCAGGGTCATTGGGAGGTGAACTGCTAGTGGAGGGGATTGTGGGTGTTTGTTGAGAGTCAGTGCTCCCTTTGGTTGGTTATGTAGGTGTGTAGGCTGGTTATAGGTTAATGTATCTATTGATGGAATTGCTTGTGGAGTGCCAGGCTTCAATGAATTCACAATCATGGCAAGTGGTAGCGTGGCTGATGATTTTTGTGTTGCTCCAATCAAACTGGTGCTGTTTGATGTCAGTGTGGGTAAAGCTGTATGACTTCCTCCAGTAATAGTGTGAAAAGATTAGATGGAATAATTTCCATTCCTAGCTTGGGAAAAAGTCTACAAATAGAGAAGCAAATCAAGATGTCTTTTGGCCATTCCATTAGATCCAACACAAGAGGCATGCTCCAGGTCCTATCAGTGAAACATCTGGTGAGATTTCTGTCATGGAACAGGCTCCTCCTGAGATTTGCATGACTCCATGCAAATGGAGTGGTCTTTTGTAAGTGTTTGAAGGTATGAATTTCTCCTCAGTTACTGATGTTGGGATGTTAATAGTAGATGCATGTGGGAAATGTTGGTAAAGTGTTTCTATAGTGGCTTTGACTTGTTTCTTTTAAATTATAGTGTATTGTATTCTAATAATTGTTTGCTGCCCATTAGTAAATAAACAGTTACATACATTTATAAAATAAGTAAATAAAGAAATAATTCTGTTTCTCCCAGTATTGTCAACAATAATTATGTAAATAAATATTTTTCTCAGAAAAAAAATGGATTCAATGATTTCAGATGGTCTTCTCAAAATGTATTTGGGACTGGCTCCAGTCCTTTCTGTTCAACTTCCATTCCTGCTAGGACACAAATTATATTACCCACAAAGCGTATAAAAATATTTTTAGAAAATGCCTCCCAAATGTTTTTGATTCATACATTTAATTGGATAGAGTACAAAGTGAAATCCAAATTTGCAACTACATTTCAAAGGGTTATTTGAAAAACAAATGGCAGAGGGGTATCTCCATTATTCTGCAAAAACAACAGAACAAAATACATCAAGTTCCTCCCTTCCCCTTTGTGTCTCCTTAAAACTATTATAGTACAAGTTTTCATGTACTATTATAGCTCATGAAGCATATACCATAGTAAACTGCTCAACTTTAAGATATTACAATGCACTTCTTTACATTCAAAGGATTAGAGAAAGGTTAACATTTGTTTATACAGTTCTATGTGTACATTGGAAACATTTTCATACTTCATTTCCATAAGCTAAATTTGTGTTTTTCATCATCTTAAAGTCCATGCCATTTAATAGCCATATCTTTGATTTTCTTATCTAATATTTATTATATATTTATCATTGCATATTTATCTTTACATATTTAACCATGCTTTCAAGAAGTTTACATAGCGCTCTCTCTCTCGCTCTCTCTCTCTCTCTCTCTCTCTCTCTCTCTCTCTCTCTCGTACTCAGGGCCTAAATCACTTCATGAATTACATGAATGAATACACATTTGACACCTCTATATCTTAATCCAAGAATAGGCAATTTGATACCATTCTAATTGTTGAGTTACACCTGGAAAATGATTATGGGAGTTATAAAACATCAAGTTACTTGTATCTGTAATTTGTCTTAATTCATATACTTGTGAGTTTTGCCACTTGATCTGCATCTTAGAGAAGGTGCAGTGATTTTAGAAAAACCAAATGAAAATTCAAATTGAGATTTCCTCATCCTAGGAAAAGTGGCATCAGCTCAATTTTGTTTAAAGCAAATTATAAACAAGATTTTACTATGCCATTTTTTCAATGCATCAGAGTATTTTAAACATCCAAATAATGATTAATAATATAGCTGCCAACAGTAAGAAAAGTACCATTTCATTTCACAGTCTTTCAATTAAATATATCTAATAGCCTTAATTTTGGTGGACATCTTATTTCCTTCATCAAAATATTCAGTTAATCAAAAACTTTTTAAAAAAAAGAGTTGATACTTTTTCACAATTTGACCAAAGAATGTTCCCTCCTATTAACAACCCTTCTTATGTTACTCTGGATCATTATGAGACAAATGTGCTATTATTTATGGGGATTAAATGACCTCACTGCAAAATCCTCAAATGTAATTTCTGCCTATTAATTTCTCAAAGTTTGTTAACAGGTAATTTAAAAATTTCATTACCTGCCTAGTATATGAAAAGGATTTTATTGGAAGACATAAAAATAGTCTTTTATATCCTAACTGTTGTTCTCTTTCCTCTTTATGAGGAGGTAAGGGATTCTTATAAAAATCTCTTAACTACATAAATACCTTTCTACATTTTTATCTGCCCATTTCTATGTTATCTGCAAGAGTCAAGGGTTTCATAGGTTAAGGTTGTAAGTGCCTCATAACTCTTCCTACAGATCCAGATCATAACTTGTATAAATTCATTAAAATAAGTTTGATTTTACTCACTTTAAATAGATTTTTGAAGAAAACAATTGGCTTAAGTATTCAAATTTTGTAAATTTTCACGTTCTGCCTGCTATTTTGACTGGTCTTTCAAGGTGAATGTGATGATTTGTTTTAGTTGCCCAGCCCCATTTTAAACATGAAACACACCATCTGCAATCTTCCCATTATCCAAGATATATAGAGAATTATTCTATTGATTTTTGAACATCCTTGTTTAGTATTCTCAATAAAATTTTAAGAAATGGACACTAGAGGAAACTAAAGGGAATTAAAGATTACAAACTTGACTTACAAATACAAAATAAAGCAAAAGCAATTTTAACAATATACTTATTGAAGGACATTTTAAAAATGGATTCAACCATTTATTTTAGTAGTGCTGACAGAGACATATTCCTGTATGGAGAGTCTATGTCCAAAAATGTTATGGAAGAGGAACAACTTCTACCTGACAAGATAATGACTAAGCTGAAAGTGGATTTATAAATGACTGACTATAACAATGACATACAAAAATCTGTTACACTGGAACTACAAAAGAAACTAATTGATATCTTGATAATTTAAAAAAAATGTACAAACAATAAACCAACAGAAAGACCTGGATGATTTTTTCCCCGTTTGATTTACAGAAGAGATTTCTTGAAGTTTTGAAGAACATCTTGCAAAGGAAAGAAATCAAAAAATGAAAAAGAATGAAGTTCCACTGCAGTATTTGAATAAACTAAAGATTAAGATTGTTAGAAGTAAAAGGAGGAAATATAAGATTGGTTTATTTGATCAAGGTTAAAATATACATATTATATCTTGCGTAACCCATAATGGACCTTTGCTGATACAGGAGTTAAATGATGATACTTTATAGATTGTTTATAGATAAGAGATGGAATATGGGAAGACGAGATCACTTGCTGCATTTTAAGAGTAGGTGATAAGTTACCAAATAGTTCATAGTTGTAATGAAAGTGGGAAATTACTTCTTCACATGTTTTTCATTTCATTTCTTTTCATTTCATATTTTTACTATACTTTAATTTTTTCTTTCTTTTCTGTTTCTATTTTTCATATTCTCATTTTCCCCTTTCCCAATTTTTCTTTGTTTCCTGTACTTTCTATATTTTTTCTTTTATCTTTTTTAGTTTATATTAGTTTTTTACTATTGTATTTATAATTTTAATAAAATTACTACAAAAATACATGCACTGTTATTTATTAGTTATTAAATTATCCATTGTAACATATAATAATATTTATACTTAATAAATAGATATCAATAAATTAATAAAATAAACAATGAATAAATATTAATAAATAAATATAAATAAAAATGTTATTTTGTGAAAAGAAGAATGTGTGGATAATATGTAGAGACTAACAGAATGGAAAACAAAGAATTGGAGAAAGTCCCAAAGAATCAAGTTTATAGTTTTGAAATTTTGATAGTTTTGAAAATCAAAACTGAAAGATTATGGCATAATCTGGCCAAGATGGTCCCAGTGATTATCAGCATACTGGGACCCTTACTAAAGGATCTTGGATGACAAGATTTGCACATTGATAGTATTTCCATTTGTCAATTACTAAAGATCACATTGTTTGCATCTGCACATATACTATGACATTACATTACGACATACTAGATTCTTGTGAAGAATTCAAGCATATGAATGCCAGCACCAGTTAAAGAACTGGCAATTGTGATTTCACATTTTTGTATCTATAATAATAATGTGAAAAGCTCTTTACTGGGGAATCCATTGCTTGAATAATATAATAATAATGTGAAAAGCTTGAATAAAAACATACTCAGTAGAGTCAGCATATTTGAAGGTATTATGGACCTTCAATATTATGAATCTCAGTGCTAGATTTTTTTCCCAAGTTCTATGAAATAAAATATGATGATGATAATAAATGTAAATGTCAAAAGTTATTGAATTTAAAAACTGCATTTTTGTCATGGGAAATTTCAATGCCTTTTTTTTTAGAAAAAGGAGATATTATTGCAGGTGACTAGGCAAATCAAATATAAATACAGTCAAATAGAATGAATAAAATGATTTTAAATTTGAGAAACTATTGGATATAGTGGATTAGATAACATAAAAATAACTTGTTTTAAATATTGTCATCACAAATCTCTAGATATGTTTGGTTGATTAAACATGTGTGAAAATATGGTAAATAAAATAAGAATTTCCAGTCAAAGAAATATAATACTTTTGCTAAGATGTAAACACCATTATATCAGAGCAGAAATCATTTTGTAGCACATAAGAGAATTCCACTTAAAACAAGAATCAGTTACACTTTTATTAAAATTATTTGAATGCGTGTACCATGAACCTATTAAAACTGTCTTAGAAAGTCATATTGTGATTAACAGCGTACAGCTCTTAAATCTGTAAGGGATTGCAACTTGACTCTAAGGATAATTTTAAATTAGTTTTGTGTTTGTATTGATTTCTCAAATATATGCTTTGCAATATTTGGTTTATGACAAGATCATCTAAGATTATGCAGTTTTGATAAGCAATTAGGTCTCTGGAAACGAAGTGCTAAAACACAATCAAACCAATATAAGATTAGGAATATAAATTTATTGGTTACACTGTGGTTGATGGGAACTTAGTTCAGCAAACCTGAATGGCTGCAACTTGGAAGGTTATTCTGTATCAGAGAATAACACAATCAACAACTTTCTTTTGAAACTCGGAGAAATGAGCAGTCTAAAAAAGGAAATGAGAATTAAATCCAAAATCTTTTTATTGGCAGTATTTTATTAAATGCATCAATGATCAAAAGTATACGTAGTATTTAAGGATAAAACCCCAGTTATGACCTACATGCATCAGCCTTGCCTTGCTATATTTTTAAACAAAGAATTAACAAAGGTTACAATTTCTGTACAAGCAAGAAACATGCAAGTTCTATGAATATTTGGGCAAAGTCTTACCTGTATTCAGAAAATAGTATTATCAGATTAGCAATACATGATCATGGTCATCCACTAAGACAAAAGGAGGATAAGAAGAAAAAAGAGACCACTAATTAACATTTTCAATTTTAAGAAGGGTAAAATATATGTAGACAATAAAACAGCAAGAACATACAGTCCTATTTTCATTTTGGAGCTGAGATTTATTTTATGGAATGTTGGTAGAAATGAATTCCTTCAAATCTGTTAATTGTGAAAATGTTCAATTTTTTTCTGGGTTAGTGCTTTTATGTTCCCCTAAAGCAGGGGCTTGCAACCTTAAACACTCAATGAGCCATTGGGATCCATTTCCCACAGAAAAGAAAACACTGAGGGCCTCAAAACCTTTGTGGGTGTCGACAACTCAACATCACTCCCACCCAGTCACATGACACACAGCCCCGCCATGCCTACCCAGGTTTTGTGGCTTCTGGTGTTTTTGTGGGTCTTTCTCCCTCCCTCCCACCCTCTCTTTTTTGTATTTTACCTTCTGAGGCCAGGCAAGGAGTGACTGGGAAGGGAGGGCAAGGGGTAGGGCCAGCCAGTGGTGGGACCACCCAATAGGGAGCCAGAGCAGAGGGCCCAAAGAGTCGCATGTGACTCCAGAGGGTATCCCTAAAGGGTATCCTCTTTGGGGGAAAGACTTTCTTCTGCTTTCTTTACTTACTGCATATATACCTTCTGTTTTATATGACTGCAATCCCAAATCCTTGAGGCACGTTTTTCAAATAAGTGATAAAAACAATTACATGTAAAACAATCATCCTGGATTATCACAGGGATTTGGAACATTTATTTGTACTGAAGGCTGAATTGTTTTATTAAAGGTATACAGTATGTTTTAACTGGATGGCAAAAGTGTTGTTTGAGCCACCAACTTTACAGTAAATGTCAGGAACTGAATCTGGGACTTTCTACATAAAGAATAAGTCATCTATCACTGAATTCCCTGAAAACGCTGTGGAAAAAATATTGCTGAATCCATGTCTAAAAATGATAACAAAACAGAGAATGAAAAGCAAACCATTTGCTGAAATGTCTTTCTAGAATCAAGAACACCTTGGGTAGTCTGCAAAATGCTGACAAATGAATAGGTTATTTATCCCATATGTTGAATTGATTGGCTGAATCTTCACATTTTCATTCTCTCACCTTAATGAATTATCTGGTTCTGCTAATAGCACCACATAATTAATATTATTGCTAGAGCAGTATGTGTATGAAATCAGTGGAGTATTTTTGCCTGTTGAAATAATTTGGGATATTCCAGACTAGGCTCTAAATATTAATTATATCAAAGAAACTTCCACAACTGTTTTGTGGACTTCGATTTCCAGAATATTCAGCAAAAGTCAACTCCCCAGGGTCATTAGGAATCAGGCAGCATATAAATTTTGTAAATAAACATAAAGAAGCCTTGATGGTATTGCATGTAGTGGGTTGATGTTATCATATCTAGGGGAAGTTTGGATATCTAGTTCACATATAGAACTACTTTATTGATCACATAAGCCTCAATACTAAAAATAAGAACTGAAGAAGGGGAAAAAATCTTGACTCCCTCATAAGCCCAGTAATTTCATGGTGGCAATAGTGTAACTTTTCTTCTAAACTGTACTGGATTATTACAATCTTGGTGAGAGACGGATGGATTAACTGCCTCACCAGTTTTGAGTCTTCCCTGCAGTTCTTTCAAAGTAAGTTAAAAGTTTAGAAGATGGTGTGTCCCTGACTACATCAAGGATACCCTACTTCCTACTCCCAATGTTATCAGCTTTCCATAGAAGTATTAGAAACAAGGACATTTTCACCTTAGAATTTTTTCCCCTTTCAATACAAAAAGATACTGCAGTATTTCCTATTGCTGTTCTCAACTGGTAAAATGTCTGTTGTAGGATTACACTCTTATAGATATGAATATTTCATTTTCCAAATTAACAAAATACCAAAATCCTACATCTCATACATACATACATTTTACTGTGAATGTTAAATTCTGTTGAGCTTATCCAATTTTTACTCTTTAGAAAATAGTTTCATTTGAGGAGAAAAGCCATTTATTCCCAAAGATAAAAACAACACACAAACTACTCACCTCATCTTCAGTAAAGCAGATACTTCCCCTATTTTTTGATAAATTGAGGAATGCCTCTGTTTGATAGAAAACAAAAATATTTTGAGGATGGTAAAGAAGACAATGCAGTTTTGATTTACTGTAAATTCAGTCAACTTTTGAAAAAATACAAGAACTATAGATTAAAAACAAGTATGCAAGTATAAAACTTCAAAACTATTTTTTCAATAAAAATAATTGAAAAACTGTATAGAGTAATCCCACTCAGTGTGATCCTGCCCCCTGGAGATGTTTATTTTCAGTTGTATGGGTCGGAGAATCCAAAGCGTGGGCTGTCTTCTGCTTCCTTGCTTAAAAACAGAGTCAGTCAAAGTTTAGTCCAGCCCCTTTTCCATTGAGAACTGTTTCCCAAGGGTGGAAAAGGAGCCAGAGAAGAATGAAAATTCCCGCACTCCAACAGGCAAACCAATGAAAGTGAAGTATCAGGAAAGGAGTGCAACACTAGAGGGCACTGAAGATCATCCTTTTCAGCCTGCTCTTTGTGTGAACGAAGGATTGAGTGAAACAGAAAGACAATGCTCTCAGGCATGCAATGAAGAGCTCTCCCCCAAGAGAAAGAGATTTTCTATGGAGTCTAGCTCTTCCTCCACAGCATCGGAAGTCAGGGAACAGTCCTTTAAAGTGGAAATGAGGGCTATGATGAAAGCAATGATGGCAGAATTCAGGGACAGTCAGGGTAACAGACCCAGCCTGATACATAATGAGAGGAGACATCATCATCATTCTACTCAAGCAGGAGGAGTAAGGGAGGAACTGTCTTCCAGGGAGATAGTTCCAGTAGATCAGACACTCACAGTGAGGCCTCTATTTCAAGACAGGAAGAATACAGGGAGTCAGCTTTCTCAGATGATGAAATTAATGAACCAGAAACTCCAATGTTCACAGGTCTATTTCGTCACCAGCTGTTTAAGATGCTGCTGGGGAAGGCTAAGATAGCAACAGGCCTGGGGAGAATCACAGGGACAGAAGGGTCTGAGTTAGAACCAGCTGATCCCAAAGATAGATTTTTTGCTAGAACCAAGGTTGAAAGTGAATCCATATCTTCACCTGAATTGTTCAGGGAAGTGGTGGAAGGTCAGTTGGACAGATCAGTTATTTTCCCAATGCCAGGGGGGAATTAGAGGAAATTTTATAATGTGAAACTAGTGGACCTATTCCCAGTTCCCATGATAGACAGCCCTGTGGCAGCCTCCACATCTGCTACAGTGTTGGCTAAGGAAGTTGAGGATGGTCTAAAAGGGGAGGATAAGAAAACAGAATAGACCCTACAAAAAGTTCACCAGGCTGCAGCATGGGTGGTAAAGGCAAAGTCCACAGCATCATTTTTCAGCAGAGCAGTCCTGATATGGATTGAACGGATGCAGGAAAGGATGCAACCTGGTGATCTTCGATTGCAACAGGATTTGAACAAAATAACTTCTGCAACAGAGTTCATAGCAGACACCACACTTAATGGGGCCAAGTATGCAACTAAGGCCATCACAGCTTCAGTGGCTGCAAGGTGACTTGTTTGGCTCTGCCACTGGCAGGCAGATCTGAAACATAAATGGAAACTGGCATCAGCTCCAGTTAAAGGGGACAAACTTTTTGGTGAGGCCATTGAGCCATTACTGATTGAAACCAAGGACAAGAGGTAGGTTTTACCCAGGAAACTTGGTCAGGCAGATGGGTGACCTTCTCCATATCCACTGCAACAGACCTTTCCTATCTCGGGGTGCGGCTTCAGCCACTCCCTGTACACACAGACAGTACACACAGACCCCTACTAGACATACAGATAGGTCAGGATTTAGAGATGGGGTGGACAACGGTCCCAGGGAAGGCACCCCTTCTGGAGTTTGACCAGCAGGGCCTTCTGGAATACAAAGTGATGGCCGGAACAATGCGCCCATCAGTGGGAGGCTGGGCCTATTCACTGACCGATGGGCATCAAGTACAATGGACAAGTGGGTCCTAGACACATTAAGAAAAGGCCTAGTTCTGGAATTCATCTCCATACCCCCGAGCTCATTCAGAAGATGCCCAATGCCAAGGGACAGAACCAAAAGGGTAATTATGGGAACAGCAGTTCAACATCTGCTAGACGTTCGGTACAAGTGGTACCAGAGAACGAACAGGGACAAGGGTTCTATTCAAACCGGTTTGTTGTGCAGAAGGCATCAGGGGGGTGGAGACCAATTTTGGATCTCAAATTACTTAACAGGCACATAGTATACAGGAGATTCAAGATGCAGTCTCTGCAAGCTATAATAGGGAGCATACGGGAGGGGGATGTCCTGACATCAGTAGACCTCACAGATGCTTACCTACACATTCCTATTACCAGGAGGCATTAGAAGTTCCTGCGGTTTTGTTACACAGGGAGAAACTACCACTACAGGGCTCTTCCATTCGGCCTGTCCTCAGTGCCGAGAACTTTAACCAAGGTCCTGGCAGCAATAGCAGCCTTCCTCAGGACAAAGCCCATATGGGTCCAATGCTACTTAGATGACATATTAATACAGTCAACATTGACTCTAAGAGCACAGAGTGATCTAGAAACCATGATACGGACATTACAGGAGCATGGCTTTTCGTTGAATTTTGAAAAGAGCAACTTAGAACCGACCAGGCAATTACAACACTTAGGAGCTGTAATAGACACCAACTCCTGAGAAGTTTACCTGTCACAGGAAAGGCAGGACAGCATAAGGTCATCAATAAATCAAGTGAACACAGCTCCGGGGGTGTCCCTGGACTTGCTGTCACAAATACTAGGAAAGATGATATCGTGCATCTCGATAGTACCTTGGGCCAGGCTGCATGCAAGGACATTGCAGTGGTTCCTATTACCTTACCAGAGAGCAGGCAAAGGCAATACAGGAACCAAGGTACGAGTTCCCCCCCCAAGAGTGAATCAGTCACTCCAGTGCTGGAGATCACCCACAGTGACAAGGGGATATGGGTTCAAGGAACCCATCCAACTGACTATCATAACAGATGCAAGTTTAGTAGGCTGGGGAGCCCACTGTCAGAGCCAGATTACACAAGGTCTGTGGTCTCAGTCAGACCTCAAGAACAACATCAACTGGTTGGAGCTCAGGGCATCTCACCTGGCTCTAAGGGCCTTCAGGTCAGTGATAGTGAGACAGCATGTGTTGATCCTGACAGACAACATGACCGCCAAGGCTCATATCAACAGGCAGGGGAGTACTCACTCCCTAGCGCTCATGCAAGAAGCAGAGCGATTGGGCCACTGGCCAGGGACGCACATTCTATCAATCAGGATGGAACACATATTGGGAGTGGAAAACATTCAGGCAGATTGGCTCAGCAGAACAATGGTCGACCACTCAGAGTGGCACTTATACCTGGACCTGTTCAGGGAACTGTCGCAGATTCGGGAGAGCAGTCCTGGACCTGTTTGCGATGCCAGCAAATGCACAACTCTTGAGATTCTACTTGAGATTCCCAACACAGGAAGCGGAAGGAACCAATGCGCTCCAAGGAGCATGGCCAAGGGGTTTGCTCTACACATTCCCCCCACTCCCCTTGATACCAAAGGTAATCAAGAAAGTGATAGAAGAGGGGGAGGAGATCTTAATGGTAGCATCTCACTGACCCAGGAGGTTTTGGTATGTGGATCTGGTAGATCTGTCGGTATCCAGACCATGGAGAATTCCCCCAGACAAGGTAGAACTGAGTCAGGGAGCCATATGACACCCAGAGCCACAATGGCTGCAACTAACCATATGGCACTTGAGAGGACCATGCTAAAGCATTTAGAGTGCTCAGACCAGGTAATACAGACACTCCAGGCATCCAGGAGACCATCAACCAACAGAATTTATGATGCTACTTGGAGAGCATTTGGAACCTGGTGTTCCAAGAAACAAATAGATCCAACCACAGTGTTAGTTACTCAAGTGTTGGATTTCCTCCAGGAAGGCCTGGAGAAGGGTTTAATCCCTAACACCTTAAGGAGGCAGGTAGCAGCGACAGCTTCAGTGTTGGGTTGTGGGACCTTGGAGTCCCTCTCACAACACCCCCTAATCTGCACATTCATCAGGGGAGCAACCAATCTAAAGCCACCAGTGAAACACAGGTACCCTACTTGGGACTTGACAAGGGTGCTAAGGGGTAGTATTAACATTAGACCCGACCTTTATCCCAAAGATCAATTCTACATTCCATAGAGCACAAGAGTTAGTACTACCAGACTTCTGCCCAGAACCGGTCCATAGCCTAGAAAGGAAGTGGCACTCCTTGAATGTTAGGAGAGCTATACGCATTTATATTAAGAGAAAAGGCCCATTAGAAAAATGGAAGCATTGTTCGTTTCATTTAGACGAGTTCATTGGGACAAAGGGTTTCACCATCCACCATATGCAGATGGATCAAGACATGTATCACAAAAGCTTATGAAAGCCAATCATTGCAACTGCTGGGTAACATAATGGCACATTCAACCAGGAGTGCAGCCATATCAGGAGCATGGAACACACAGGCCTCGATTGAAGAGATCTGTAGTGCAGCTGTGCTGTCTCAGCCAGTCTATGGGAATTGGATAGTTACTTAGGAATTATGAGCTGTCCCCTTAAGGGAATGCATCATGGTAAATGTAGTTAAAGGTATCCTGGGAAATGTAGTTCATGTCATGTGGCCACATCTGTAATCCTGATTGGTCACTAAATTGACCCTCGAGGGATTTGGGGAGGTTTTCCTCATTCTTGCCTGGACTCACTTACTCATAGCAGCTTTTTCTACCGCTACGAGATGGGTTAGGAGATAACCATCTTTTACCTACAAGGCAGATATACAAAGGATTGGTCATAAAAGAACTTCATCACAAATGTGAGTTATGAGGATACCTGATGAACTAATAAATGTTCTTTGTTACAGACATCTTATTATCTCTCTGCATCAGTACAGTTTATAAATCCACCTCTGTACAAGATACAGAAAAGCAGCAATGTGGTCATCGCCATCTCCATTCATCAGAAATTATAAACTGGATACATTTGCATCAGCAGAAGCA